ACTCCTCTGCAAAAGGGGATGGCGTGATTACGGGATTTGGTAAAATTCGCGGGCAACCTGTCTTTATATACTCACAAGATTTTACCATTTCAGGTGGCAGCGTAGATAAAGTTAATTCACGAAAAATATGCAAAATTATGGATCTTGCGCTCAAGGCAGGGGCTCCTATTATAGGCATAAATGATTCGGGGGGAGCTAAAATACAAGATGGTGTTAACGCACTAGCTGGATACGGTACTATATTTCAACGCAATGTAAATAGTTCAGGGATTATCCCTCAAATATCATTGATAATGGGCCCATGTGCTGGAGGAGCTGTGTACTCTCCAGCGCTCACCGATTTTGTATTCATGGTAAAGCAATCTTCATATATGTTCGTTACTGGTCCGAATATAGTCAAAAAAGTACTATACGAAGATATTACAAAAGAGAAGCTAGGTGGCTCGACAGTGCATGCTGAAAAAAGTGGCGTTGCCGATTTAACATTTATAAACGACATAGAAATATTACGCTATACAAGGCAATTCATAGGACTCTTGCCTTCAAATAATACAGATATGAAGCGAGCAGTGAAGTCGGAAGACCCTCTTTATTGGGACCCATCTTCCATCGAGCAAATCTTACCTCGCGATTCAAACCTTCCTTATGACATCAGGCACCTGCTTAATAAAATTATAGACGCTAGTGTGTTTTTTGAAATACAACCAAATTTTGCAAAGAATATTGTTGTCGGATTTGCTAGAATATATGGACAAACTATAGGAATTGTGGCGAATCAACCTTTGCATCTTTCGGGTTGCCTTGACATAGATGCATCATCCAAAGCAGCAAAGTTCATAAGATTTTGTGATTCTTTCAGAATACCTTTAATAACATTTGTAGATGTACCTGGATTTTTACCAGGAAGGGAACAAGAATACATGGGAGTAATAAAACATGGTGCAAAGCTGCTTTATGCATATTCTGAAGCAACTACACCGAAAATCACCATAATTACCAGAAAAGCTTATGGTGGAGCCTATATAGTGATGAATTCAAAACACTTGCTCGCTGATTTTAATTACGCTTGGGAAACAGCAGAAATTGCTGTTATGGGAGCAGAAGGAGCAGTAGAGATTATACATAGAAAGCAACAATACAATCCAGAGGAACTAAATCATTTGGTGGATGAATATAAACAACGGCACCTCAATCCTTATACAGCAGCTTCTAAAGGATTCATTGATGCTGTCATATCACCTAAAGAAACTAGAAATAAGATAAAAGAAGCTCTTGATGTTCTCAAACATAAAAACACAGAGCGATCTTCTTTGCATCATAATATTCCGTTATAAAAATGCTTATAAAAGATACTATCAAAGAAACATTAAAGCTTTCAGAGATAGTTTCCAGATACATACATTTGCATAAGAAAGGAGGAGAGTCTTATGCATTATGCCCATTCCACAAAGAAAAGACCCCTTCTTTTTATGTCAATGATACAAAAAATCTTTTTCATTGCTTCGGGTGCGGCATTGGTGGAGATGTTTTCGAATTTATATCAAAAATAGAAAATATATCATTCAAAGATGCTCTAGAAAAACTGGCTACTATAGCTAGTATAAAAGTCCCTACAAAAGATACACAAGACTGCAGTGACATTCTTATATTTAGAATCTTTCGTTTATCCCAGTTGTGGTTCTCTTATCAATTAGGATTGGAAAAACACAGCCTTGTAAAAGAATATCTCGCATCAAGATTAATAACTTCGAATGAAATCAATTCTTTTTATATAGGGTATGCTCCCGATACAGGATTATATAAATTTTTGCTCTCAAAAGGATTTAAGAGACAAACATTGCTTGATACCAAATTGATACGTCCGAACGGAACTGATTATTTCCGTAATCGTATAATTTTTCCCATTTTTAACAAGACACAAAAAATTGTAGCATTTGGAGGACGCAGAATCAATGCATCAACACAACCTAAATATCTTAACTCTCCGGAAAGTGATATTTTTACCAAAGGAAATATTTTATACTCACACAACAGCCTTTTCAAGGTAAAACAAAAAGAGGTTATAATAGTAGAAGGATATACAGATGTAATATCATTATATAGCAACGGCTTTACAAATACAGTTGCACCCTTAGGCACTAGTATAACAAAAGAGCATCTATCATTACTTGTCGAATGTTTTAAAAAACTTACCTTCTGCTTTGATGGGGACGCAGCAGGAAAAGAAGCCTTATTACGAATTGTCGTAAAAATATTGCCATACATCAAAAAAGACACTATGGTATTCTTCTGTTATCTCGATAACAATGAAGATCCTTCTGATATAATAACAAAATATGGGTTAAAACATTTCGGGAAATTGCTAAAGAATGCAAAAAATATTGCCGAAGTAATATATGAACTATCAGTGCAAGGCTGCAATTTATCCTTCCCAGATCAAAGAGCCCAAGCGGAGTCGCTTTTTCTTGAATATTGTGACAAAATACAAGACCCTCTACTCAAAAAATATTACATAAAATTTTTTCATGAATCATTGTATAAAAATTACAATCGCAGCCTCAAGCAGAATATAAAATTCAAAGTTCCTTGCATAAGGAATGATGACCTAAAACTCATTTTAAAAATTGTTATAGAATATCCAGAAATATTGACCACTTCCGCTGAACATGAAAATATCTTCCTGCAAACGGATTTTGGGACACTGTCTGTATTTCAGAATATTATTATTGATCTTTTAAAAACCGATAATATCGATAAAGAGATTATAAGCAAAGCAATAAGCAATCATGGTTTAACCTCTTCCTTGGAAGATCTTTACAAACACACCTTAAGCTATCAAATTAATACCAAAGACGAAGCATTGCAATTATGGAAAAAAATATCTATAAAAAATCATATCTTATGCCTTGAAAAAGAATATCAGCATGAGATGACACAAGTAATATTACATGGAAAACCCAACAAAAAAGCAAATGATCTGTTAAGCATAATTAAAGATTTGAAACAAAAAATATATATGTAACTATTCCTTTCTATATAACAAAATGATTCTCTTGCTCTAAAATTTTGTACAATATATAATGTCATAAAATTTTTCGTGTTAGTAATATGAGTAGCTTCCAGACGCCTGCTATACAGGGTAATGATTTTTCAATATTTGGAAAAGAACTCTCACAAGATGAAATAAATAACATTAAATCAATAGAAGAGAAAGACACTCAAGTAAGAGAGATATTAAAAACCATATATGATCCCGATATCTCAGTAAACATCTTGGACCTTGGTATAATTTATGACATAATAATAGAAGACTTCTGTATTTCTATCATAATGACACTGACCTCTCCCACTTGCCCTGTTGCTGATCTTTTTCCCGCTGTAATCAAATCAAAAATGGAATCAGTCTTTGATAAATATGTAGTAAATGTTGACTTGGTCTTTGATCCTCCCTGGTCTCAGGATATGATGTCAGAAGATGCAAAATTGCAACTAGATATGTTTTTCTGAGATATGTGCATATCCACAAAAATACAAAAAATTATTACACATCTGTCACAAGGTGGTCTAGTCTGCTTCCCCACAGAAACCATCTATGCTTTAGCATGCTCTGCTCAGTATACAACTTCAATAAAGAAGATCTATGAAGCAAAAAAACGAAATACAAAGAAAAGCTTCTCTATATTAGCAGAAAGCCTAGACTCAGTATCTGAACTAGTAAACATATCAGAGAGTCAATATAAAATAATAAAACATTTTACCCCTGGCCCCTTCACCTTTGTACTACAGAGAAAAAACGAGCTAGGAACATTAGGGATTAGAATCCCAGATCATCCTATTGCTCTTCAGATATTAAGACTCTTTCAAGGAACGCTAATTGCTACAAGTCCGAACATTTCTGACACCTTGACCTCTTGTAAAAAATTTCAAGATATAGATAAATCAATTCTTGCTTATGTCTCCTATCAGATAGAAGATGATTCACTAGTCCAAGGAACACACTCAACAGTGATAGATTTATCTAAATATCCTCAATACAGCATATTGCGCGAAGGAATAAGATTTTTTGAGATATTAGAATATCTTGAGGATCTTTAGAATGCCCAGAGAAATTACTAATCACAGAATTCATTTATTTCTACCTCTCTGATTTAAATTCATCAGCTTTGGTGGTCTCTTTTTGCTTAAGGTTGTGCATCAGAAATAACCAGAAAAATGATATTTGTTTTCTTATGCTCCCAGATTTTTAAAAAAACAACTTATATACATTGAATATAATCTCGATTCGTGCATTTAATTCTATGGCACACGAAAGTTTTTTAGTATTAAAAGTACGTGCGAGAGATCATTTATCCTCTCATCTAGTCATAATCCTTAGCTCGGATAATAATTCGGATATAACTTCTAGAAGATAATAATACTCTTTCTATATCCTTGTTCAGCAGAATTCCTCGCAACACAAAACCTCACTACTTTTAACAAACACGTGAGCTTATGTTTTACTAAAGCACACACACAAAAGGTCAAAGACGTCGTTCCCCACTCCTCGTAATAATAATTTCCAGCAAAACAAAACATCAAGCACAGGGCCTTCAAAGCATCAGCTCTAACGAAAGCTATTCAGGCTCTGTTTAAAAGGCATCTATTGCTCTCCTCTCTTAGAAAAAAAAGCTGGCTGTTCATGTTCTATCCACACCTTGCTTTGAAGCAAAGGATCTACATCCCTCCCGATCATGTATCAAGAAGTTCTACGCATTTTCTTACGCATATTAGAATCCAATACAGCCTTACGTAACCTGATACTCTTCGGAGTAACTTCAACAAGTTCATCATCTTGTATGTATGAAATCATTTCTTCTAATGTCAGCATCTTTGATCCAGCTAGCTTTATAGCTTCATCCGAACCTGATGCACGTACATTAGTCAACTGTTTAGTTTTTATAACATTCACCTCCAAGTCATTCTTCTTGCTGTGTTCTCCTATGATCATTCCTGTATATACTTTATCTCCTGGCTTGACAAACATAATACCTCTAGCCTGTAAATTAAATATTGCATATGCTACAGCATTTCCTTGTTCTGTAGATATCAAAACACCATTTCTATGAGTATCTATAGCTCCTCTATGTTCTCCATAAGAATGAAGCAACCTATTCATAATACCAGTTCCTCTCGTGTCTGTTAAAAATTTACCATGGTATCCGATTAATGCACGCGAAGGAATTATGTACAATATACTAACTCTCCCTTCTTGTGCTGGATCAATACTTTGCATCTCTCCTTTGCGTAAGTTTAGCTCCTTCACCACTACGTTGCTATAATCCTCATCGACATCTATAATCACCTCCTCTAGTGGCTCTAATATTTCTCCATTATCACCTCTTGTAAATAAGACTCTGGGGCTTGAAACAGATAATTCAAATCCTTCGCGCCGCAAGGTTTCAATCAAAACACCGAGTTGCAACTCTCCACGTCCTCCGACGATAAAAGCATCTTTATTCTCAGTATCTTTGACCGTGATAGCAATATTACTCTCAGCCTCTAGCAATAATCTGTCTTTGATGACTCTAGAAGTAAGTAAAGACCCTTCAGTGCCTGCCAAAGGAGAATCATTCACACTTATAGTCACTGCCATTGTAGATGGATCTATTTGTGTAGATTGGATCGAATCAGAAACAGAGGGATCGGCAATAGTATCTGAAACAGAAGCTTTGGCCATCCCTGCAATAGCAATGATAGAACCCGCATATACAATATCAGCATGGACGCGATTAAGTCCTTCAAATACTTGTAATTTTGTAGGCCTACACTCCTCTACAATATTAGCATTCAAATTGAGAGCCTTCACCGTATCCCCTGCGTGTATTGTACCCTGATAGACTTTCCCGATTAATATACGACCTAGAAATTTATCCGGATGTATAAGCGTTACCAACATCTTGAATGGAGACTCATAACAATACTGTGGTGGGATAACATAAGAAAATATAGTGTCGAATAATGGAGCAAGACTTTCTCTTGCATCTTGCGCAAGATCTCGCACACACCATCCATCTCTACCAGAAGCATACAATACAGGAAAATCCAACTGCTTTTCAGAAGCATCAAGATCCAAAAACAATTCAAATACTTTATTGTGCACATATTCCACTCGACTATCTGTCTTATCAATTTTATTAATTAGCACTATAGGCTCCATTCCTGCCGCTAATGCTTTTGCTAAGACGAATTTTGTCTGTGGTTTTGGCCCTTCTGCGCTATCTACCAATAATATCACTGAATCCGCCATGCATAATACTCGCTCAACTTCTCCGCCAAAATCAACATGTCCTGGTGT